TGATTCATCATTTAGTAATCTGCTTTCTTGTTGTCACTGTAAATAGAAAGTCATTGTGTTAAGACTAAGGATGCACGATCCAACTTTTTAGAAACAATACTGACCTAATACCTGGGCTTTGGGTATCTATCAAGACCAAGTACTGATCTAATAATGATATTAAATACTAAAAACCTGTATCCCTCACGATATTACATATTACTATACATTATAAAACTAAATGTAGTAAACAAATAGATACTGTATAAACTCTAAATTACAGCCTAAGATGTGCACTCCCTTATTGTCAGGGCTTTTTCATGTAGCTATCGTTGTCTCTCAAAATACCATGCACTCTAGGCTGATGACAAACTGCACAGTGGTTTCTAAGTATTTTGTCTTTCAAAACATCCCCAGAAAGTTTTTCGCGTCTCTGCAATGCAGCCGACAAAGTTAACGGTTTAGTTTTGTTTGCCTTCTTCAGTCGAACTCGTCGTTGACGACCACGTTCGTATTAACTTTGCAGACGTTGCAAGTAGCTGTAGAAGTTGTTGGTGTAACAAGCTTGAAATGCTTGAAATGCTTTGTTTTTAGCTCCATCCATGCAATGCGGGCTCCAGCTGGTAAAATGCACAGTCCTACCAGAGCACTGATGATACATCCAGATCCAGCTATTTGAGTCTGTACCTGACCAAAGCTGATGCCAGGATGGGAATATCTCAAGGTTAGACTATTGGTGGAACAAAAATTTGTCAGCTAATTACAACAAAAATAAATCTTAAAGGGCGTCAGAGTTAATATATGAATAAACCATACTTAATCAAATAGGTATTAATCGTGTTTGCTAAGACAGTTCTCGACTTGTTTTTAGTAAGAAATAGACATAAATTATGTTTTTTTTTTCACCCGACAGTATGATCACAAGGACTTAAAATAAAAGCACTGCTTTGGTTTGGGTGTGGGCAGGTTTAGGCACACAAACCACTTGTAAAGGCTTCGTGAAAGGTCATGTCTTGTGTTTAAATAACTCACTGGTAACTGTTAGGGAAACATTGTGGTTTGGTTAAAACAACTTCCTTATGGTTAGAGAATCGTCACTAAAAGAAACAAACATTGACTCTTGGTAAGAAATGTCTGCTGTTTTGTCAACCCACCCAAACAACCTGACATCTTTCCTTCTCTAACGTAACGGATATTTCCTACAATTTTAGCTCAAGAATATTTAGTTATTGGGCAGCTGCCTTATAACAACCTGAAGTATTCACCCAACCTCAGGCATGACGGAAACAGAGTCTGCATCTGTTTACAAATGCACTGAGAAGTTCCTCAAACAACAAAAATAAAGTCATCCTTTCACGTCAAACGGTGCAAGCTACCACACGTCACATCCAACCTTCAACCATCAGAAACTGGGACGCTTTCATGGTGTGACGCAATTTACACAGCAATGTTTGTGACTAAACCAAGTTTAATGCCGAGAAGAGATGAACAGAAGTAACAGAGACGGAAGAGGAGGGTTTGTAGGTCAACACCACAATGCCACAATCACTCTTTTAATGACTAATGCTTAAACGCGAAACATTCATTTTGTTTATTGCTCCTCAAAAAAGCAAAAACAAAACCACAGTTACCTACAAGGCTAGTAAAGCCATATCCGTGCCCAAGTTATAGGCAACCAAAATTACTAAGAGCCCTGCGTTTCTGACTTGAAATGGAAATCTTAGTGACCATGACTAATTTCTTTTTTGGGGAGATTTATCTCAAGTGTATATGAGGACATGGACACACAACACTCACTTAACAAACCACACACAATCCAAAACTTTGACTTTTTAACTTTGACATGACCAAACCAATTGTGATGACATGGCCTCTAACCAGTGAGTATCACATTGTTCTAAATGTCACCTAGAAGAAAACACCCTATTTTAATCAGACTGCTGGCTACAAAACTGAAGCTTCTCATGGCTCCTTTGAATAATGTTGATGTACAGCTGTTTGCTGAGCTGATGCTGAACTCCTGTAAATAACGGAATATCGAGTGTAACTTTTCAAAACAGGAGACATACTCCTGGTGTTTATGTCTGTGCGCGTGCGTGGATAAAATGAGCAGATTAAATTTGTTGCAAAAACCACAAAAAAATGTTCCTTTTTCCCCCCATGAGGCTAGTAACTGGGCCTGCACATAATGAGAAAAATATGTGATGTGCAATAAAAATGTTGAAAGAACAATAGTGTGACAACAAAAGTTAGAGAAACCAACATATCCCTCCAGAATAAAAAAAATTACAAAAAAAAACGTGTTTCTTTCACTACTAAACTGCCACTAATTATTCTGAGGGTAACTAGCTTCATCTGAAGTCATCAAAATGATCTGAGAGCATGGCCATTGTCAGCCAGGCCTTCATTCATTGGGTCATACACATGCTAAGTGAGGAAGCATTGATTGTATACATAAAATAACTTCTATCATTTATTGCAACATATGTAGACTTTTGCTATGCTTATATTGCAAAAGCTTATATCACGATAAAGATAAATTGTGCAGTTTCACAAATAACTTGAAAGCCATAGACACATTAAATGCCCATTCAAGTGAATTCATTCACTGCAACAGACCCAGGCTTCAAATGAATAGCCATATTGCAAGAGATAGTGACATGTCTCAAATTAATTTAAACTGTCCTAACAGACATCAGATCTGCTATAACACAACTCAAAGCAACTTTTAATTAAATCAATGCACACCTCCAGCTTCCTTTAGCACTCAGTATTATGGCAGACTGTCATGACGATGGGCTGCGATGAGCCCTGTCAGGGAGTTCATGTGTCAAGAGAGATAGGAGTGGACCTCCCCATGGACAGGCCTGAACATGCAGGCAGCTGCTGTCAGCGAGCCAGAACATTGAGGGAATTAATAGAAACAGCAGCTCTCCAGGGACACTGTTAGCCCACTCTGACAGCCAACTCTGATCTGGGGTCATCTTAATGCACCCTGCCTCTTCCCTTCTGCATTAGTGGTAGGAAACACGAAACCTGGATCATGACAAACATCATTCAACTTTCCGGGTAGGCTTAACTGTGAACACTGGTCCGGGCCTGTGCAAGCTGTGATATGCACACTTGTGGCAATCAAGAATGTGGGAGCGCCCTACGCCGGGTTAAATTTTCACCTGACACGGAGGATGCTTTGCAACAAAAATTGCCCAAAAATACAACACAGATTTAATGGACAAAGACAAACGTTTTATTTATTGGTTATGGCGGTGTTGTAAGTTTATTCATTATAGCTGACGGAAACCGGTGTAGTCTTATATGACAACTCAGCCACTAGTCCTCACTATTTAAAGTCATCATCAGTTCTTATTGTAACTGTTAAAGGGAGGTGATGAGTCAAAACTATTGTCTCATTCAAGGAATTACACTGTTGGCCAGTTGAGCTCATTTGCAATATCATGAGTGGTATTTTTAGATATTAAGATTTCCTTCCTTTGGGAGTGCAAGTACTGTTTGTTTTAAATAAAAATGAATTTCAATTAACAAATTGATATCACAAGATACGATGTATTCAAAATAGGGATATATGATGTGTTTTCCCAGCACAATAAGAATAATTACATGCTTGTTATGGTTAATACTAATAAGACAAGGCATTTCATATTCCTGTGCTCTAAAATAATGTTCATAACCTAAATGTATGCACACCTGTGGAAATGAGGCTTAGATGAAGAGATGATTTTAAATTGAATTGCTCTCTTAATCATTGCAGAACTTGTGTTGCAATTTGAAACATCTTGTCTCCCTCTGCATCTGTTAGAAAAAAAAAAAAAGTCCTCACTGGCTACAACAAGTTGTCTCAGCACAATTACCAAATAATTCAGAGCATGCTCTGCAGGGAAGTTATCTAAATCGCTTCATTTTTATGTACTCGAGCTTTTTTTCTTCAACACCAGGGTGCATAAAAAAAAAAGAAAATGACACAGTGTGTGCACAGGACAACATGAGCGAAGATACAAGCATGTTGTCAGTTTATATCAGGCGATACTTTAACAATGATACATGTTCATTTCTATGTGTAATTGATATTGTTCTATCTACAAATGAGATCCATTTATGATGGTTTAATAACCTTTCATTTGTCATTTTGAAGGCACTGTGATAACTCAGACATGATTTGTTTACCAACATCCCCTCACAAACTCTTACCTCTTACAACCTTTAATCCGGGGGGGAAGGGGGGGGGGGGGGGTACTGATTATAATGCATGAGACCTAAAACTACCAGCAGTAATTTCATGTGGTATTCCAGTGCAATTATGTGGGTTGTAGATCAAGTATTGACGGACAAATGGCTCTGTGAAGGCATTTGAACAGAGAGGCAGCTCCACAGACTCGCCTACGCACTAACACACAGCGCTAGAAAGCGTCCCAGATTAAGGCCAAGTTACATAACTTGGGCTGAATTTGTGCTTTTGCATTGCATGTGCGCTGACGGCTAGTCAAATACACACACACACACACACACACATACACACACACACACACTGTTACGCCACTGCTTCAGCAAAAAAAAATGGTCAGATATGATCACGAAGGGGACTGCTGGAACAGATGGTTTCGGTTCACTCTGAAGTAAAGTGCACATTTTGATGGCACTGCAGCCAGCAAGACGAGATGTTTGACCGAGGGTTTTTTTTTTTTTTGCTAGCTTCCTCTTAAAAGCAGTGGTGGCTTTGTTATGCATTACATGAACCACCGAGTTACACTTGTGTTATAGAAAACACAAGAGGAGGCTGTGTGAAATGTTTACGATGTGCAGGAAGTGGAAATGTCAACTTCTCTGTTGAGTAGAGGACGTCATAGTAAAGGTGTCACAAGCAGCAAACGCCGACATGTGTTTATTTGTTATATAAAAAAAATGTGATAAATAAACGTCAGGTAAGTCATCCCACCTTGGCTAGCTATCCGGGTGATGCTGCCTTCACGGTCACCGTCAAAGCAGCGCTCAGAACTCTTGCTTACCTCGGTATGGTGATGCATTTTGTGTTGATATTCTGGGTCGTGATGGCTTTCTCCAGTTCGTCCAGCTGCCCCGTCTTCTTCAGCTTCTTCACAAGACTTTTCACCGCCTTTTCAGACCACTTCTCCTCCTGTCCGTTCTGCTCTCCCTTCTTCCAGCCCAGAAGTCTTTTGACAATGGGGGGAGTGAAAGGCAAAATTGACATCTTGAGTTCAGTGAAGTCCGTCCAGTGTCAAAGAAGTCCACGTCGGGTTAGGACAACAAACAAACAAAAAACAACTTGCTCTTTATGCGGTCCAAACAGCGGAGATGAACGCGTTATTCAACATCAGATTTAAAAAAAAAAGTTGTTTAGTGTAAATCGCCACACACAGATGCATCACAGAGTTAAACCCTCCGGTTCTAGCTCGTTCGCTCTGTCTGGCTCTATCTCCGCGGTAAACTGTGCACCGGTAGTCTGTTGCACTGAGGATTTAGTGCTACTCCGCCGCGCAAGCTAGTTCCGTCTGCACTTCTTCAAGCAGGCGCTATTTTTTTAAACACACTTTACCGAAGTCACAAGTCCTGACGCGTTAGCATCATGCACCAATATCAGATAACTTTGTTAGTGTTTTTTTTTTTTGTTTTTTTTATTGGATTTTCGAACAAAGTTTTGTGGAGTTCATAGTCATCCGCGCTTGCTACCGCCTGCTGAAGTCTGCAAGAAGTCTGCATCAAATGCAAATGTAGGAGCTGCTGCTGAGAGTTTCTATTCAGACTTCAGACTGCACAGCAGACCTGTGAAAGGCCCAGTCCGAGCAGCTGGACAAATGTGCTTTGCTGATATTGCACAACCCTCTGCCTTTTCCCTGCTGTTCTTTTGCTGATAAAACTGCATGTGGTGGACACACTTATGCAAATACATTACTGCCACTTAAGTGTTAACTGTTACTTTTTTGCAAAACTTGGCAAAAAAAAAGTAAGCGCATGACATAGGGATGCTAATGTGTGCATGCCTAAATTAGGAAAAACTGCATTAGTACAGGCAAAGATGTGTTATTTATTCCTTTGGATTTGTCTTATAAAATTGCTTCAATGGAACCCATCTGTTTCAGTTCATCAACGTAACATAATTATAGTTTAAAGAGGTCCATGAGGTTCTTGCCTCCTTATTTTCCTCCACATGGTAAAAAAGTTAAGGGTTTCAACTTTATAAGGAAAGAATTCTAATTTTTGCTTTTCTGTTTTATTTTTGGAAACACACACTTTCTTAAACATACAACAGAGAGTGGTGTTATAGTGCTATTTCTGCTGTCGTTTCCTACACAGAGGCGTATTGAGGGTTTGACATTAAGCATATTCAATATATAACTTTCTAGTAATTGCGACTGGGGTTTTTGTTTCAACACAGGGGTAAATAACTCAGGAGCCATACTGTAAGATGGAGGGTGATAAAGTCATGCACACACGTACATGATGAGCCACAAACTTGCCTCAGCTTGTTAGTGGTGCGAACACTCATGGATGCCTACTCAACAAGGCGGTAGTTTGGTTTACAGCGTGGCCCAGTCTCTGAAACCACAACTTATGCACACACACATATGCATACATGCATACCCCTCCCTCTCAGCCAACACACTCCCTGGTCCACACACACCCACACTGTGTCAGGGAGTCAAAGTGCCAGATGTACAATAGAGTGTATAAGCACAGCTGAGCTCACCAGAGAGAGAGTGATAGTTTAGGGTGTGAGGCAGTCTTTGTTCTTTAGGCTTCAAAAGGAAAAAAAGACTTTATTGCGTTCAAAAGCCGTTTAGAGAACTTGAGACTCTAATTTGCAAGCGCTTGAAAGACTTGTAAAAGCCATGAATGTTCTGCACAAAGAGGCTGTAGTGTACATTTATTAAAGTAGCTTGACATACAAAAAATGTATCAGAGCTGGCATGACAAAAAAAAAAAAACTGCAAACTTTGGGCTAAAAGGCAGTTGCATTGTTTTAAAGTCCTTTTTTAGAGAAATGGTCTAACCAGAAACCTAAAAAGCTACAGTCTGTCTCCCGTGCAAACCTTTAATCAGTGCCTGCATTGACAGTTCACACTCATGCACAAATAGTAGCGTCAACCTGTGGTTACCATTTTGGTATGTGTGTACAGCCGCATTGACCTGTGTCCAGCAGTCCCCCTCTCTGAACACAGTGTGTAGTTTTTGCTAAAAATATCGCTGGCTTTGGCCTCAGCAGGACAGAGCCGTGTCTTTGATCTATTTTGGTGACAGAGCGATGTATATTTTCATATCTGCTAAAGGAATGTCAAGGTTCTTCCTTCATGCCTACATCAAAAAGATGTTTAGTAAGAAGATTCATATGGTATTAGGAAGAACAAGAAAGAGTTTAAACGACAACTTTATTATACTATAGAGACATTCTTTTTTTTTTCAAAAGGGAATGGCTCCAGAAAGCATTTTTGGCAAAAATTGGAGAAATTCCTTCTTGTGCTTCAATGTGCTTCAATAATTATTTCATCCAACAGAAAAAGAGTTTCACCACCTTTCACCTACCACTAACATAACTGTTTGAAGGTCTTGCAGCCTCTAGTAGTACCGAGTTACATAAACGTTAGAGAAACAGTGAAAAGTTCTATATGCAGTGAGTTGTTTGTGTGTTATTATCCATCAGCAGCTCCTCATCTGTGGTAACAATTAAGTGTCCAGCTGTAAAACACATCACTCTGCCTCCCCTCTGTGTGTTGGCAGGTCTGAGGAGAGGTCTGGAGGAGCGTGCTGCCATGAGTCACATGCTGAGGCCCTGCGGCTCGCTCTCTCGGCACCTGTTTACGCCCCCGGGGACACGACCGGCCAAGACAGCTGGTTTGCTTTGGAGAAGTGTGGGGTGAGACGGGGGCGGATATGGGGGTTCAGAGTGGGGGATGGGATTACAGATGGGCCGCAGAGAAGGGGTGATAGAACAGGGTGTACGTGGGGGGAGACTGAGGAGGAGGAGGAGGGGGTGTCTTCTGTGAGAAGAATTACTGAGCACAAAAGGCACTCCAGCCGGACAGAATGGGCAGTGACCACGTGCAATCCGATGGATGATAATGACATTGTGTTGGCTGCAACCTCAGGGGACTTGGGCCAGAGTGTGTGTGTGTGTGTGTGTGTGTGTGTGTGTGTGTGTGTGTGTGTGTAAGTGTGGGTGTGTGTGATGTCAGCTGGTGTCCCAGTGGAGCTTAAGGGTAAATCAAATAAATCAAAGATCTACTATATTAATTTAGTATTTGACCTAGTTACTTTCAGTAAAATAGCCAGTGTCCAAAGTTTCTACAACACCACAATTTATTAGTATCTGAATGTATCTTGTGAATGTAAACACTGTATCTTAATGTCTCTTGTGGGATATCATATCTCCTTTATAAACATCAACACAAAGTCTTGATTTTATATGCATTATTTTACACGCAAATTACAAGTAAACATATTTTTGGTCACTACTATTTGGAATCCTTGGATAGTTCATATAATCCAAACATCATTTAATGATTTAAGAAGAGTTAAGATCCTTTACTCAGGGAAAAGTAGACGGACCACCACAATAAAAACACTTAATCAATGGTTAAAGTTAAAGCCCCTGCTTCAAAAATGTACAAGAAAAACTAGGTCGTGGGTGTCAGAGAGCCTAGTGGTTATAGGCTATTGTTCTTATTGCAGCGGCCATTGCAGTGGGTTCGAAACCAACCTTGGTCCTTTGCTGCACGTCGTCCCCTTCTTTCTCCTCCCAATATTTTTTTCAGACTCTCTTCAGCTGTCCTATCCAATAAGACAAAAAGACCCCAAAAAATAACTGTGTGAAGTGAAAGAACTCGTTATACAGCAGAACTCACACTGGATTATCATAATGCAACAATATCTACAAAGGGATTTATTGTTTTGTAGCTTCTGAAGGAGGAGTTCAAATGTTTGATAGTGATATAAATATATTTTAAAACCCTGTATCATGTTTTATATGAGTATTTGTTCTGCTTTGGAAAAAATATCCAAATCAACAAGGAAAGAGACAATAAGATCAGCAAATCAACTAGTTCTTCATATCATTTAAAATTTAATGAAAAAGTATATATTACGGATCTTAACTACAATACTTACAGACATTCCACCATTATTTCCTGAAGAAAATCAAAAACAAAGTATAAACCTCTGTTTATTATAAGATCCTTTCATAAAGTATGGAAGGCATGCAACTAAAGATCAAATCATGTGGCTGTTGGAGAGCCACAACTTTCTCTCCTCACCTTAATAAAACTGAAACTAGTTTGGCTGTATTTGTCTGCATGTGTCTGTTTGTGCATGTTTGCACAGTAATACCGGTGATATTACAAGTGAGAACGTTTCTGAGTGAACTGTAGAGAGTGTACTAAAGTGTCTTTTAGATCTTCTTGGCAATAACACGACAATTTGTTTTCTCTCTGAGAGAACCATCAGTCACTCAACAGCTCCTGACAGCTCCTCCGACTGCTGCAGCACATGGTGTACCAGAGACATGCATCATAACCCTCCTGCACACACACACACAAACACACACACACACACACATTGAACAGAAAAAACACACAAAACACACCCTTCACATGCAGCAGGCCCTTCTTTTATCACTTCACTTCTCTACAGATGACACTTTGTCTATTCTTCTCTCTTCCACATCTTCACAAACACTTCTTTTTGCTCATCAATGTGCACATTCTTTTCTGCAAATGTGTGTTTATGTGTGTCGCCATAGTTAAAGTCAGATGATTCCACTTCATCAGAGGAAACATTTCTCAGTTCATAAGTGCTAAGTGACAATTCTTTTGAAACTTCGGGCAGTTGCATAACTCACACTCCTGTGAACAACAGGAAGAAAGATAGTTTTCCTTTCAGTTGTAAATGCCTATCACTCAGTACAGTCCTCAGGGGCAGCCTGTGTGAATGCAAAACATGGATAAAGGTTTTCTTTGTAAAAAAAAAAAAAAAAAAAATATATATATATATATATGCTGTTGTCTCTGTCCTTGCTTCAGAGCCACATGTATAATGATGTGCTCAGGACTGCAGCGTTTCTAGACACCAGTATTCGCCACAACTGTAAGATGTTGTTTTTGCTGCATAACCAACAAAAAGATACAGACGAGCGTCTTGCGTTACAATATCTTACTAAGTAATGGAAAATTAGCACCTTTGTCAAGAGATCTTTACTGCAATATAGGGCTGATTTCTTGATATGCACCAACAATGCTGAAACAAACAGTTTTTTAACAGCATCAAAAAACTGTTATAGGTTGGATAAGGTTTTAGACCTTATTATGCCAAAGGTACAAATATAGAAGATATCATTTTTTAATCCTGTGAGGGGAAATTACATTTTAGACTATGTTGCTGAAATATGTTGCATGAAATACAAACACATGCACAAACAGGACCCTATGGACGTCAGAATGAGG